CACAGCTGGATGGGGACAGAGGGACAGCAGTGTCACAGCTGGATGGGGACAGAGGGACAGCAGTGTCACAGCTGGGGGGGGACAGAGGGACAGGGATGGGCACAGCTGGAGGGGGACAGAGGGACAGCAATGGCACAGCTGGAGGGGACACAGGGACAGCAGTGTCACAGCTGGAGGGGGACAGAGGGACAGCAATGTCACAGCTGGAGGGGACACAGGGACAGGGATGGGCACAGCTGGAGGGGGACAGAGGGACAGCAGTGTCACAGCTGGAGGGGACACAGGGACAGGGATGGGCACAGCTGGAGGGGGACAGAGGGACAGCAATGTCACAGCTGGAGGGGGACAGCAATGGCACAGCTGGAGGGGACAGAGGGACAGCAATGTCACAGCTGGATGGGGACACAGGGACAGCAATGGCACAGCTGGAGAGGGACAGCAATGTCACAGCTGGAGGGGACACGGGGACAGCAATGGCACAGCTGGAGGGGACACAGGGACAGCAGTGTCACAGCTGGAGGGGGACAGCAGTGTCACAGCTGGAGGGGACAGAGGGACAGCAATGTCACAGCTGGAGGAGGACACAGGGACAGCAATGTCACAGCTGGAGGGGACAGAGGGACAGCAATGGCACAGCTGGAGGGGGACACAGGGACAGCAATGTCACAGCTGGAGGGGACAGAGGGACAGCAATGTCACAGCTGGAGGNAGGGACAGCAATGTCACAGCTGGAGGGGACAGAGGGACAGCAATGTCACAGCTGGAGGGGACAGAGGGACAGCAATGGCACAGCTGGAGGGGACAGAGGGACAGCAGTGTCACAGCTGGATGGGGACAGAGGGACAGGGATGGTCACAGCTGGAGGGGGACAGCAGTGTCACAGCTGGATGGGGACACAGGGACAGCAATGGCACAGCTGGAGGGGACACAGGGACAGCAATGTCACAGCTGGAGGGGGACAGCACTGTCACAGCTGGATGGGGACACAGGGACAGCAATGTCACAGCTGGAGGGGACACAGGGACAGCAATGGCACAGCTGGATGGGGACAGAGGGACAGCAATGGCACAGCTGGAGGGGACACAGGGACAGCAATGTCACAGCTGGAGGGGACATAGGGACAGCAATGTCACAGCTGGAGGGGACACAGGGACAGCAATGGCACAGCTGGAGGGGACACAGGGACAGGGATGGCACAGCTGGAGGGG